TTTCTCAAAAATCAGTTTTCGAATGGATTTAACTTTCATTCCTCGTCTTAAGTTGATCTCCAACAGTGACTGAAAAAATGATGTAACAACACACATACAAACACACACACTCACACACACACTCAGAGAAAGAGCGAGAGAGAGAGAGAGAGAGAGAGAGAGAGAGAGAGAGAGAGAGAGAGAGAGAGAGAGAGAGAGAGAGAGAGAGAGAGAGAGAGAGAGAGAGAGAGAGAGGGAAAACACTCGAATGTGCCATGGTTGTAAAGGCAAAAGATGTTAACCTTTATCCTAAATGTTGAATGTTGAATGAAGAATTCAGTATAGACATCACAGCACTCGGGACACCACAATAAACTCTACGCCCCCAGCTTCAGCAGCAAATGAAGAGTTGCAATTCCAATGGCGCCAGTATTTATCTGATTGTATACCCATCTGACCTTTTCCCTGAGTTTTGAGCGGCCGGTCAGATTCTCTTGTAACTCCTCACAGCGTTATTCTTTCCAGTTCGTAATGATCTGTCAATGCCTCTGCACTGTTTAATCGCTAGCAAAGAGGCCTCACAACATCCAGCATGTAAAGCTGATTCTCAAGCCAGCGGAAAGCCGCAGAGATTGCCTCCACCTCCATTTTCAAACTAGCCTTTTTGATAGCATATGCCAGACTTTACTGCACCAAGCCTGTGCTATAAACCCCATGCATTTCGTTGGCCCCTCAACACAGAGCCATCTGTAGAAATAATCATATCACCTGTGCGATAATTATCGTGAATCATGTGTTGAACTTCTGATTCCAAGACTTTCCTCTTTTCAGTCTGTGACCCCTAGCACTCTGAAAGATATGACTTTGCTTTAAGAAATTCGAGTCAGTCAGCAATATAGTAGGCGTTGCAAATATATGTCTCATACATACAACTGGGGTTTCTCTTATACATACGAGAATTACCCGCATTGCTTTATTATGTATGCTTTCAAGTTCATCAGTTGACTGTTTGATATAGTAAGCATTCCAAGTCCATAATCTATCACCGACAGGATCGCATGCCGGAACTTAATCCTAAATATGTGTGTACAATGGTATGCCTAATTTTTTAAATTGCCTGATAGGGAATGTCAGTCTACTTAAAAAGTTTTAGATCAATGAAAAACTTAAAAATATGTGATTTTTTGTTCTTTAGATGTGGAACTCTGTAAAATTGTTGCTGGTTGCTGCTTTCACCATAGCAGTGTCAGAAGCAAGGAGCAGGCGCTCAGGTAGATTTGTTGTTTAGGTGGTCACAACGACAAAATCAGGTGTAGTAAATGTATTTTCCCCTTTGAACTTCAACAATAAATGATTGGATGTCGAAAACAATTCACAAGTTTTTGCTTATACTGCAAAAACTTCCTGTTTTGATACATACATTTAGCTTAGCCTATTTTCAAACCTAAATGGTTATAACTGTACATAATAGCTGATTAAAAGTAAGATGGTAGGGGAAAAAATAGCATGTGCCTACACGCGCACTCTCGTTATTTTCATACTAGCAGTACCGGCCACTCGTTGCTGTGGCTCAGTCTATGAAAATGGAAAAGAAAGAAAATATAACGCTTACGTGTCTAATATGGATAATATTACAATCGGCATTTGCGAAGATATGCAGATATTCTGATTTGCTTACTCTACTAGAACACGCAACATATAGATGCCTTTATAATAGTGGTGGTTTAAATTGCACTTTTAGGACTTTAAAAGATAGTTATTTGTGTACCACATGCTAATTTTTTTTCTTACAGCTCAAAGTAAAGCTCGCGATTGGTTGTACCTCTAAATGACAAACTCGAAAAAAAAAAAAGAGAATAGCCGAGATAGCGTTATTAAAATAAAAAATTAAATAAAAAAAGAACTCTAAAATCATGTTTTAAGCTCAATTAAAATAATGTTTTAGGCCATCTCAGTTAACATTGTCTGCCAACACCCTCGTTCCCTCGCTAAAGAAATGCCCACATTTTAACATTTCCATACAATTTGCAACAACGCTTCGACCATCTTCATGCAGATTTCTAAGGTCAACACTCAAAGGTCGCCTATCAGCATAAATAAGAACTTGCGGCGTGAACGCTGAAAAAAAAAATCTTGAAAAAAAAGAAAGATGCTGATGTGATAGTCGCTGAAGCTATGCAGGTCATGCCTTGTGCGACACTCTTTTTTAAAAACATGCGCATATTTGAATGCAACGTTGTGTGAAACTTTCAAAGCAATATAAAATTTCAATGCAGTCATATGGATCATGGGGGAAAAGGCACGTATTGGCAGCCCTGCTTAGTAGCTAAGGCTGCAGAACTAAAAACAAAAACGAAACAAAAACTGACGTGATCGTTGCTGAGCTACAGTTCGTAATAATGCGATACTGTAAAAAAAAAAAAAAAAAAAAAAAACTAAAAAAAAAAAAAAAAAAAAATTGCGTGCAGTCGAATGCAACGTTCTGTAAAAATTTAAAAGAAATCGGTAAATAACTTTCGTAGATTAGCTACTACAACAAAAGAAACTTTACATTTCTATATTAATAAAAATGTTAATTTTCTGATGTTTTAATCTCTAAACTCGGAAACTACTGAACCGATTGCTTTCAAATTTGCACATAACATTGCCTTTAACTCCAAGCGTGATGTTTTTTAATCAGAAAATAGCACAAAACACGATCGACGTAGCTCTAGTAATGGTCAAATCATTATTTGTTTCGTTGCCGGCCCGGATTTCTTTTTAGGTGATTGGCTATTTTTGGCTGCCGAGCTTTTATTGATTTTTGCATTATTATATAATCTCATTTCCATTATATGTTGGAGTGTTTGGTAGCGTAGTTGGTAAGTATTCTGCTTATCATTCAGGTGACCCGCGTTCGATTCCCCGCTAGGTGATATAAATTTGTTTAGCCCCTAACTGGGCGACTGGCACGTTGTGTTGTGGTTTATGGCTATGCTGCGATATCTACGCCGTTTTCGGTTTTGAGGTTTACAGATAGCCCGCGACAGCGGCGACGTGATGGTCATGTCCCAGGTATTCTTCGTTCGCCCTCGAGAGAGCCGTTGGCACGTTGTGTTGTGGTTTACACCTAGGCTGTGATATCTGACCTAAACTCTTTAGTCTTCGGTAGTATAGATTTAAGTATTCCCTCCTTCACGCGGGTGACCAGTGTTCGATTTCCCACTCAGTGATAATTGTTCATTTTCCCTTAAAAAGGTGGTTGCCACGTTGTGTTGTAAGGTCACAGCTAGGCTGCGATATATGAGCGTTTCGCCCTAAGGCATCCGATTTCAGTTAGTCACAATTAGCCTCCCAGCGACGCTTCTCAATCAAAAACTACTCGACGATGATAGAAACTGTTACCTAAGACGGCTTACAGTCCAGTTTAGTTTGGGTGGACACGGATGCCAAAGTCAGTTAAAAATCGCTCCTTCGGAGAATGAGAGATGACGGTGTGCGGGGTATTTTTCTTCGCTATTCGTGAGTATAGTGTACTTTTCACTGTGGGTTCCATCATTGGTTACATGATGCGTTTTTTTTTATTTTATTATTTCTATGTCAGGAGCAACATTAAACTAAATAGTCTGTGGCGACAGTATGCGGGCCGCCGGCGCTAACTCCTCTTTTCTACACGAACCTACACAGACTGTAGTGACATTTGTTGTTGTTGTTGTTGTTGCTGTTGTGATGGTGGTGGTTATGTCAGACACAGTTAGCTAAGAGAGCTTAAATATTTTTTTAAAGTTCTCATTTTTTTAACTATTTCTTTAATAATTTCGCCATGGATTATTTTTCAGTCCTCCGGAGAGGGAGATATGACTTCGCAAGGTGATGATTTTTCAATCTTTCGGAGAGGGAAATATGACTGGCTTAACTTTTTCATATTTTAATAATTTCACCACGGATGATTTTTCAATCCTTCGAAGAGGGAGATATAACTGCATCTAGGGAAGAGAGGGGGGGGGGGGTGTAGGTGGGGTATGACAGACACTGTTAACTAAGAGAGCTTAAGATATTATTTTAAAGTTCTCATTTGTAAACTATTTATATTTTAATAATTTCGCCATAGATGATTTTTCAATCCTTCGGAGAGGGAGATATGACTTCGCCAGTTGATGATTTTGTAATCCTTCGGAGCGGGAGCTATGATTGTTGTAAAGAGGGGGGTGGGGGGGGGGGGGGTTATGCCAGACACAGTTAGCTGAAAAAGCTAAAAATATTATTTTCCAGTTCTCATTTCTTTACTCTTTCTATTTTAATAATTCCGCCATGGATAATTTTTCAATCGTTCGGAGAGGGAGATATGACTGGGTCGAGGGGAGAGGAGGAAAGGGGGGGGGGGGGGGTATGACAGACACTGTTAGCTGAGAGCTGTTTTCTTTCCTCTCCATTTCACAATTCTGGGCCACAGCAACGCGTGGCCGGGTACAGCTAGTTTTTTAATATAGATTATGACTTAACACATTTTGCTTGAATAATTAAATGATTTTGCAGTTCGATTTCTGAAGTAGCAATGAGTGCTTGTTTGTCCGCAATTAGTAGTTCTTTGATGAAAATGTTTGGCTTTCGATCTCTTTAAATCCCCCCTCCCTCTCTCCCGAACCGGTATATTATATCCCTTGTTTGGTTGGTTTCTCTACAGATGTTTCCAACGTGCTATATAGAGAAAGAGAGGCATGAAAAATCCCTGCCATATTCCAGATTTTATGATTATTGGTTCCGAGTGTAATTTCTTTGTTCACAGTACATTTAGTGTTGTTATACAAGCTTTTACTTATTAAATGTGTGTTCACAGCTTAATTTTCCAAGATTCTCCATAGTTTGTTCTGTCTACTGTCGTCAAATGCGCTTGCTTCAACATATTGTGCAGCCGTGCTGTTCCCCCGTCTTTTGCATCTATAGTTAGTTCATTTCGTACCGGCCCTAGTGATTTATTCATTGTCGCAGCTCTGAAAGTATATTGAGAAGTTGTTCGAAGTACTGTTTCCAGTTTTTATAGAATGTTTTCCTGTTTCCTTATTGTTGTCTGTTGTCACTGTTAACTATTTCGTTTGAATCATAGGTATCTAATCTGGTCTCATTGATTCTACCTTTGGGGGGGGGGGGGGGGGGGGGGGGTAGAATCTTTAGTTTATATACATAAATTAAAAAAAAAATAAAAAAAAAAAAAAGTATATATATATATATCTATGTATGATATATATATAAGGATAGGAAGATACGTCTACAACTAGAGCATATATATACCGTATATATCATTGTATTTAGTGCTCTTATATCCATATATAGCTTTTTTTTCTTCATTTTTTTAAGACCCTAAGACACTTGGCCAACGTGCAGATCAACCCTTCGTCCTGCAATATCTGTATCGTCAGTGTGGACACGACATTTTTTAAAATATAGGTCTTCTACATTTTCATCTGAAAGAGGCCATATGGTGCATTCCTCTTACCAGATATGATACAGCCACCTGAGCTAGTGAATTGCATTACTAATAGTGCATGACTCAACTGCTGCAATCAGAGTCAAAGTTTAGAGTTTTGTTTGTCAGCTGATTCACCTCCAGATAATGTTCTATAATAATCGGCCAACATCGTGCTTTCCAATGAGTTCGTGAATTCAATGACCCTTATATACGAGCATTAAAATCACACGTATGTATAATATATATGTCAATATTAGGACCCCTAAGACACTTTTCACTGCATTTTCCAGTTTAGTATAGGTCTCTAGTTTTCAGAAAGAGGCTATGGTGCATTTGTTACTTCTAGTGAATATTACTAATAGTCTATATCAGTTTTCATTCCTTCGTTTTTTTTTGAATCAAATCCTCACGAGCATTGATGTTGTAAATGCTGTCAAATTAGGAGATGTTTTCACTGCATTTTCCAGTTCTACATTAAAAAAAAAAATTTTTTTTAAATCCTTAGTTGATGTTAGCGTGGGTGTATTTACAATTAAAAAAAAAGATAAAATTGCTTGAGGTATACAATCGCTGGGATACTAATCTGCCATTTCCTATTGTTGGACCCTCAGATAATTTTTAACTGAGAATCCTTTGCTGCAAATGCTACTTCCTAGCATGGATAAGCAGTCGAACCTTGGAGTATATTGCCAAGCGAAAAAGAATGAAGAACCTTATTAACCACGCATCAGAACGTCGGAAAGACAAATTGATGTTAGAATAAAGCGAACTAAATAAAATGGTAAAGAAAAGGGCCAGAACTGACGAGAGAAGATTTATGGAATATCTAGCAGAAACAGCAGAAAGTGTTGCTAAAGCACACGATCTACAAACCCTACACAAAATTACCCAACAAATCTGCGGAAGCAGAAACAATTACCAGAGCATACCCATCAGAGATAACCAAGGCAAACTGCTCACCACAGAACACAAACAAAACATGCAGTGGACTAAACACTTCTCTGAGCTCTTGAAAAGACCTGATCCTGAACATCCCCCAGATATTCAACCAGCCTATCAGGACCTTAATATTATTACTAAACCACCAAGCAAACAAGAAATCCTTAAAGCTATCCACACTTTAAAGAACAACAAAGCACCAGGCAAAGACGAACTGCCAGCAGAACTTCTCAAAGTAGATCCCAACACAACTGCTAACATCCAAGAACTATTGTTCAGGGATATTTGGAAACATGAAGTGTTCCCTGATGACTGGACTGAAGGAACAATAGTCCGAATTCCCCCAAAAAGGAGATTTAACAGACTGCAATAATTTGAGGGGAATTACTCTACTCTTAGTACCAAGCAAAATATTTTGTAAAATCATCATAATGCGGCTTGAAAAATGAGTAGATAAATGCCTACAAGTGGAACAAGCAGGGTTCAGAAAGGGCAGAGGAACAACTGAGCACATCTTCACACTACGTAACATTTTAGAACAATGCAATGAATGGCAGAGAAGCATATATATATTTTGGACTTTGAGAAAGCTTTTGACAGCGTCCATAGAGACAGTCTCTGGAAAATTTTACGACATTATAGAATTCCAGAAAAGATAGTCAACATAATTGCTCTCTTCTATAAAGACTTTTTCTGCAGTATAAACAATTACAATACATCTTTCCCAGTAAAGACAGGTTTAAGACAGGGATGTGTCATGTCATCTCTCTTCTTCAACCTTGTGATTGATTGGATACTAAAAAACACAGTAGACAAAACACTGAAAGGCATACGATGGACTCCATTCACCATGCTTGAGGACATTGATTTTGCAGATGATATAGCACTCCTATCACATAAACATGAACACATACAAGAGAAACGTAACAGACTACTCAGCACAGCAGAAATGGTGGGACTGAGAATACATTCAAACAAAACTAAGATCATGATAAACAGTCCAAACCAACAACCAGTGACAATAAGTACCCAATCAACTGGAATTGTAGAACATTTCACATATCTTGGCAGTGTGGTGTCCCTACTGAGAGGGACAGACGAAGACATGCAGTCACGCCTAAACAAAGCTAGAGCTGCTTTTGGAAGGATGAGGAAAATCTGGAAATCCAACAGTTACTGCAGAGTAACAAAACTCCCACTCTACAAGAGCATCATTTTGCCAGTTCTTCTTTATCGAGCAGAATTCTGGAGAAAGACCAAAAAGGATGTACACAAGCTGTCCACCTTCCCCACCACACATGTCTACGTAGAATTATCAAAATTTTCTGGCCAGATACAATCTCAAACACTAAACTACTTCGTTACAAACCAAGAAACTCTAGACAGTATGATAACCAAGAAAAGATGAAAATGGCTTGGCCACGTTATGAGAATGAATCCTGATATACCTGTCCAAACAGCTCTCACATGGATAAAACTATGGGGGTGACTGCAGTCAAGCTAATACAATGAATTCCAGAGAAATTTGACTAAAAAGCAACAACAGACAAAACGATGGAAAGTGAGGAAAGGACAAAACAACTAAACGTAACGTTGTGTTGTTTTGTGCACGTTTCCCATTTTGTTGAGCTTTTTAGTCAAATTTCTCTGGAATTCTCACATGGATACCAGAGGGAAAGAGAAAAAAGGGGTGCCCAAAAACAACACGGAGACAAACGATGGAAAGTGATGGAAAGGATAAAACTAAATTTAAAGTTTTCTTCTACTAAATATCTTACACATGCGCTGTATGAGACGCATTCTCGATATATAACGGCGAGACTGTATACTCAAAGGAGCAGAAATGCCAACGTGTACTTTCTACTGAAGCAAAGAGGCATAATTATGGCATGTCTGTCGCATTCGAAAGGATCTCCTGTATGGTAAACTGATAACAGGGATTTGGCCTACAGAAAGGCCAAAGCTACGCTTTAAGGACATTTACAAACGTGTGCTGACAGATATTAGGACTGTCACAGAAACTTAGGAGAAATCAAGAGTAGACTAACCGTTTAGAGGCCGACAGTGTAGACGGATTGTGACAGTTTGAAAGAGGTCAAACGCCTCACGCTGTAGACAGGATACGACTGAGAGAAAACAAGCCTCAAACGATAATGTTTCTTTGTGGACTATGTGGTAGAGACTGCGACTCCCGCAATGGACTTTACAATCATAGCAAACGCTGTTCCCATAACCAGCAGCACAACTCCATGGTCCCATTGACATATAGTGGTTGATTACTAGTGTAATTGTGGAGCAAAAAGACAGACCCCTGGGCACATACTACAGTACTGCCCTTACCTCTCCCCAGCGACGACTGTGGATCTGGCCCAAGGGAGCCACATTGAAAGAGAAGCTATGGGGGACCGGTGGCGACCTTAAACGCAGACGGGACTCAATGTTTAGCATGACTGATGTCGAACGCAGAAAAAGAAAAAGAAGAAACTAGTGTACCTTATTTAGGTAAAGACATGTTACAATCTGAGTTTATTAGACCCATGAACGCATTCAGTTAGGTCTTCGTTATTTTCAATAGAAAAACATTGCCTTGGAATTTGTAGTATTATGTTGGAATTTCCAGGAACCACTTTATCTTCTTTAACTTATATTCACAATTTTCAGTGGGCTCATTGGCCATTCGAGCTACTCCACGCATTGCTGTAGAGGGATTGACCGAAGATATTCGCCTAGATTGTCGTCCAGAGCTGACTGTAAAAAATGTGCTGATGGCTGTTCTCATTCATCTGGAGCGACTTGACGAAAATGGAACTACAACCTTAGTAGCATCAAAGAGAATTAATAGTTTAAAGGTCGCTGACAATAATAGGTTGGTATATGTAAATGTAAGTGATTAGTGAAGACTGCCATTTCATCACTTTCGACAGTCTTGGATCTTCGTTTCAATGAATTCATAAACTTTTAACGACTGATTACAAATGTTCTGTGTTGATTAACTCTTTGAGTCCCAAGGAACGCATCATACGTTCATAAATTCCTACCTAGAGGCCCAATGAACGCATGATGCGCCGATTTTACGTCTCTCTTAACTACCCCTTGGGCCTGTGATGCTAAACCCCCTGGGACTCAAAGAGTTAATGTGAGGTGCTTTTAGTGCAGGTTTAGTCAAGTAAGTTTACCAAAGAGCCAAAATGTTGAAAATGGGGATTCTCACGGACCAGAGGTCCGGGCCACAGCCTAGGAAGACCAATAATAAAATACATTTGGCTTGTCTGTATATGAAGAACGAACGAACAAACTTTATTTTTCTCAAAGGGTTACAAATTGCGCAGGAAAGCCCGTCCGACATTCAACGCTTCTAAGCACTCATCTTTCATAGCACCAATGCTTGTTATCAATAAGGCACGTTATGTTTATGATTAAAAAATTCATTATATAATAATCCATAAAAACATGATGCATTCACAATCATACACACTAAAACATACACACAAACACACGTACACATACTCTTACATTCTCATACTTACACCTGCTCACTCATATACAGACACGCATAATAAATACATACACGCACTTAGATACATACACGCACACATACATACAGACATACCTGCAAACATACATAGGCTACACCCACATGCATACATAAAATATACATACATCCATACACACCAACAAACATACATACATCCACACATACATACATACAAAATACCCGAACACACATACATACACACACACATACATAGACATACATGCACACACACGTTTCACTGACACATGTATGCATGTACACACATACACAATCACACGTACATACAGCCACATACACACACACACACACACACATAAGCCCACAATCAAACACACCCTTATTTACACTCACATACATTCACATATACACATACATACCTACATACATACATACATACATACATACATACATACATACATACATACATACATACATACATACATACATACATACATACATTCATACATACATACATACATACACGCATACATACATACATACATACATACATACATACATACATACATACATACATACATACATACATACATACATACATACATACATACATACATACATACATACATACATACATACATACATACATACATACATACATACATACATACATACATACATACATACCATACATACATACATACATACATACATACATACATACATACATACATACATACATACATACATACATACATACATACATACACATACATACATACATACATACATACATACATACATACATACATGTGTATGCATGCATACAGACAGACAGACAGACAGACAGACAGACAGACAGACAGACAGACAGACAGACAGACAGACAGACAGACAGACAGACAGACAGACAGACAGACAGACAGACAGACAGACAGACAGACAGACAGACAGACAGACAGACAGACAGACAGACAGACAGACAGACAGACAGACAGACAGACAGACAGACAGACAGACAGACAGACAGACAGACAGACAGACAGACAGACAGACAGACAGACAGACAGACATGCATACCTACATACATGCATACATGCACACACATGCATGCATACATATTTACACACATACATACACACTTGCCCACATACCTGAATACACACACACACACACCCACAAACTTACACAGCTACATATGCATACATACATTCGGCGACATGCATACATACACACACTCACATATACCGACACATATACATACATTCATGCATATGCATAGATACATGCACACACATATTACATATATAAACATGCATGCATACACGCATATACAATGCAGATACAGACACCCACAGGCATAATAAATACACACATACATACCTGCATACATACCTGCATACATACATACATACATACATACATACATACATACATACATACATACATACATACATACATACCATACAGTACATACATACATACATACATACATACATAACATACATACATACATACATACATACATACATACATACATACATACATACATACATACATACATACATACATACATACATACATACATACATACATACATACATACATACATACATACATACATACATACATACATACATACATACATACATACATACATACATACATACATACATAATAATACATAATACATATACAATGCACCATATGTTCACAGACAAACATAAATACCTAATCATCTGCACGTAACCATACATACACTGACACCCAAGCATACAAACACTTGCACATCCTCATATATGCTTAAACATCTATACACGCACAAGCACGAACGCACACTCATTTATCCATATTAAACACCTATATACACACACAGACATTATCTTTATATGGGATGATAATGCAAAATAATTATTAACTTCATCTATGGTTGCATATAATCACCATAAAGCATGAATTTAAAATGAGTGCATACTCGTATTTTTTAGATCGGGAGGGAGGTGATTCCATAAATAAGCAGCAGAATATGACAAGCCTGTTTCATATAGACCTATTTTACGCTTCGGCAAATGCAATAGATTTTGCTGTTCTTATGGTTGGCGTAAATCAACCGCAAAAGATAATCTGGAGTGTTCGGAGCTAAAATGTTATGACAAAATGTGGCTTTGTTAAAAATTTATCGTTTATTAAATGTGAGGATTATTCAATGGCTATAGATATGATTTTTTCTCGGTGTGTTTTCTATCGGAGACTAGGTGTAAAGCGCGATTTTGTAGAGAACACAGTCGTTTTAAGTTAGAATTGGAGAAACCATTCAAAACTGTTGAACAATAGTCGATATGGGCTTAGGTGTAGGATACTTAAAATATTTTTGGTCTACTTCTATCCAGAAACTGCTGAATTTTGCCTAATAAATTTTTGTGCTACTTTTTTGGTTATGGCATGAACATGAAAACGCCCAGTTTGATTAATATCTATTATAACGCCTAATGTTTTGCCTTCAGTAACATTACTAACAAGTAATTTGTGAAAATAGAGCTCAAGCCGAGGCTTATTAAGTCTAAGACCTGTAACTTTTATCTGGTTGCTATTAGCCTATATTTAGTTTTGGTTATGCTAATTTGCATGCTATTAGCATTACTCCATTTAATAAGCTTATCTAGATAATTCTGTAATGAACATCCCAACTCATGATAGTTCTCATTAGTATTTATAGTACAGTCATCTAGAGAATGATGCAGGATGTATCTTGGAATGTATGTGGTGCCTTTGTTGCAAGACAAGACGAGTATTTGCCACCAGCGTAGAGACTTCGCTAGTTGTTGAGGATGGAGACGGATCTTATATGAGCTTTATCTGAGTGCTGTGACGTTGAACCCTTACTCGGATAAACCAGAAACTGGCATTAAACTACGGACCACTTGCCATACCTCTGCAAACATCCAGTTGAATAGCCGTATCATAGTGAAATGTATATGTCTGGTTGTTCCAAGCTGCCGTCAGATATCTTTCAACCTGGACAAGGATACTGAGTTCTGACGCGCTTGTTGCCATTCGAGATATATATCTTACATCGCATTAATTACATCGCTCTTGTCCATTATCAAGCCAGTCATAGTAGGCCGCTTGCCCACCATATACTTTGCATGCTCATTGCCTCTAGCACCCTCATTGCATGTCACAAATATAAACGTTTTGCTGGTTATTTGCGATGCACTTTATGAGAAAATCCATTCTTGTCTGATGTAACGACTTTGATGTTTTTAAACATAATTATTGAGTTACCAAGTATGCTCGCATCTTGAGTACCCAGGCATGGTCTCCATTATGCTGCTGCTGGTTGCAAACAGCAAAGGTACAACTCATCTCCTTGATCTCCCCTCCCCACACCTTATGTTCACAGTAAAACTACTGTATTGTTTAAATCTATTTTCTCATCAATCAATGTTTTGACTTAAGTGACCACTCTGCCAGAAATCTGTTTCATATAGATTCTGTCAAGAGTGATATGGGATTTTATGCCGATTTTTGAGGCAGTAGGCATCTACCACTCATGGATAAATATCTCCAAGACATCCTCAGTCCGACTCATACAGGACTTTACTCTTTTACATATTCTTTTTCGGCTTGAACACTATCATGAAACGGGTGTCTTGGGTATTTCACATTATAGTGATATCTGACATCTAGGAAACATAATTTAGTGATGTTGTCGTGCCTTTCATGCGTAAGCATATTACTTGTGCTTTTAACTAGGGCTGTCCCGAATATTCGCTTCGTATTCGCTTCGGGGCCGAATTGTGGACCTATTGACTATTCGGTATTCGGCCGAATAGTGGCGGTCGGGCTGAATACGAATAGTAGTTACCTTACACCCGCTTATGCATACACTGCCCTAATACTGACAACATGAAACGATTGGTTTTGTTCAAAGCTAATGCAGCTTTCCTGCATTAACTAAGCTGTCAGTGACAATTTCCAAGTATAATTACTTGTTATAATACTTAGGATTCTTTCATTTCTAGTTATTATTAAGTACAGGCTTACTGAAGGATGCAAAACATAAAATGTTTTTATATGTTTACGAATACTAACTAGACATGGAAGAATATAAACTCCATCCACATCCAAGTCGATAATATGAAAATCAAACGAACGGAAACATATAAGTGCAAACTTCAGCTGCTCCAACACAGCTGAGAGAAGAAATAAAATCTAGAATACAATTTAGAAATAAAGTATACTATGCCAGTCAACATCTGCTAAAGCCAAAGTGTCTCTCTCGCAACACCAAGATCAAAATATATAAAACGTTGATAAGACCAGTCGTTTTATATGGCTCTGAAACTTGAAGCAGAAATAAAAGAGATGAGGCCTTATTACAGGTTT